TTTCAAAAAACCATTATCCAAAAAAAAAAAAAAGACACACACAACACACACCCAACACGAAACGTACCAGAGAGAAAAAGGAAGAAAAAGGAGGAAGAAAAAAAAAAAAAGAAGAAAGGAGAAGAGAGTGAAAAAAAAGGAGGAAAGTTTGCCTATATTATTAGAAAATAAATTATCTACATTACTAGGCTTGAATTCCTTAATTTTGAAAGGTAAATAAAAGTTACTTATTATCAAGTTATGTTTGATTTTATAGTTGTTAGATTGTTAAATTAAATTCAATTTTATTGAAGGAGTTAATTGTAATAAACTATTAAATTGAGTAAGATGAAAGAAAAATTAGTTTTAGTTATTAAAGAGACTGTAGAAATCGTCCAAACGTGAAATAATTAAGTTTGGGTATTGCATATTTAATTATTGAAATTATTTAAAATAATTAATTGTTTATTTAAAAATTATATCGTATTTCAGGCGACGATACTAACATCAAAACAGCTTACCAACTGGGTTGATTTTGAGAACATAGTACTGTGAGTGGAAAAATATAAATATTTTTAAAGTATTTATAAATTAAGTATATTGTTAAAGTATGTGCAATTATGTGCAATTATGTGTTCGAATTATATGGTTATTATGGAAATATCTTTTATTATGATATATGTGAATTTTAAAGATTGTATACAGTACATTGTGAATTGGGATATGAGATATGATTTTGAGATCAACCAGAAAAGTACCCGTGATTATATATTTCTTCTAGTTCACTGAGAGACTTTGGCTTTGTTTTATACTACAGTGAGGGGTCTTGGACTGGGGATGAAGGGGTCTCGACCGTGTACATATAGTTCACTGATGGGCTTTGGCCGTGTTTTAGAATTGATTATGAGAGGTCTTTGAGATCGACTTTCGTTCATGGAGGAGCCAAATGCCTGTGGCGAAAGTTCTTAACCCGAGAGGCGGATTATATATTTCAGTCAGTGGGTACATTTTTGGTGAATTTTTTCAGCACATTTGATGTGATGAAATTATAGCATGATTATCAGCTGATGTTATATCATGATTTTGAGATGATATTTTACGACCTTATGTGAATATTTCACTTTTGGTTATAATTACATAAAGTTATCTTGTGAATTATTAAATGATATGAACTTGATTTTCAATAGAAATGTAAAATTGAAAAAGTATAATTATTTTCGAACTTCTCCACTCACTGAGCTATCAACTTATGTATTTTCCCACGATTTTTCCTACAGGTAATAATTGATTCTTTTTAGTTGAAAGAGCCTAAGGGTTTCGGAATGAGAGCCACACAACATGTTGAATATTATAACTCATATTCATGAAGTACGAATTAAATATTTTGAGCCCATCGCATTATATTTTATATAAGCATTTGATTTTGTTGCATTTTTTTTAAATAACTCATAGTTAGCCTTGGTGATAGATTTGACATCTAATCAGCATCTATCATCGATGTACGTCACGTTTCGGGTCCACTAGGATGATTCGGGACGGATCGTGTCAAAGTTCAAGTAGAGGTTGCTTGATTAATTGGATCAATTCAATTGAATGATCGATGTCAAGTCAACTCTGTGAAACCCTCTCCATCATTCGCATGCGTAACTTGTATTTATAACTGAAATCTCCCTCTCGCTATGTTAATCTCAACCCAGAATAAAAGTCAACCGAATCTAAGTTACTGCAACAAAATAATCATTAAAATTGACTCCATTTAATACTAGACTCAATCAATAATAAAACATTAGAATGGAGTCATTTTCCAATTTGTCTAGGCGCAACTTCAATGGCCCAATTTATCTTCTATACATATATATTTTTTATTAGAC